TACAACAGGAAAGACGAAGACTATTTACAAAATAACTGTGCCATCAGGTTATAATCCCAATGCGTAAACTAACCTGATTATATGAATCACAATAATCTGCTACTATACAATATTCTGCATGTACTGCTTCCTAACACTATATACTACAAATAACTGTCCCATACACTTCAATTACCATAACGCACTTATGAAAAAAAGAAAAAAAGAAAAGAAAAATAAGAACAAAAACCAAAGGAAACAAAAAATATAAAAAACACTGCATAACATCATGAATACCCGCCTGCCCGCATCGTCACACTGTCTCTGTGTGCGTACACCTAAAACCGCAGTATAACAACAACATCAATTTCTTCTGCCGTCGTTGCTGCGTTGCGTCCGTGGTGCGTTCTCCCACAAAATATGTGTGTTCCTTCTCCTCTCCCGTTCTCTGCCCGCGCACGCTGTGCGCCCTCTGTCTGGATCCGTTACGCGGACAATCCCATTTACCCGGCCGCGTTGGTCGACGCGTTTGCTCGGAGAGACAATCGCTGCTCCTTCTTACACTCGGCTACCGCGTCGAATCGTTGTTACACGCGGACCGAACCGTGTACCCGGCCGCGTTTGCTCGGAGAGACAAGCACCTTATACTCGAATGCGTATGCGCATTCTATATTAGTTCTGCACTATACCCTTAGAATGCACGTGCTCAGCTTTTAATAATTAACTGCACATAAAGGAGAATACTACCCCGTCATAGTATTCATTGAAAGCTACATTATATATGCATGTAACCGGTGCCCACCTGTTCCTATGGTCATGTTAAAAGAAGTAGACTACACAGAAAAAGAACAAAACAAGGCAAAAGTAAGCACAAGCAGAACAGAGCAGAAAAAAAAAAAAGACGGTATAGAATAAAGTAAACGCGAAATATATTACGTATATCATATAATGAAATAAAAGTGGTCGGCCGTTAGCATGCGTTATGTCGCATGCATATGCCCCGGCATCTTAATTGCAGAGCTTGTGCAAGAGGTCATCTACATATAACTCCCTATCCAGCATACTACTCTCGATTTCGCACTCTTCGATTACGGATGCGAGGAGTAGCATGCACAATTTGAGGGCGGTTAACGGTTTTTGCATGTAAGGTTGCGGATGCAGTTGCTTCCGTGGTACATCTCTCACTCTTAGCATATCTGCGGTTCCCATTACTCTGTCCACGTCTAAGTCGTTTTCCACTCTAGGTACTTCGCCTTTTTCAGGTACTATCTCCTCCTCAACATTATTCAACAAATGTTTGAACCACTCCTCCTCACCATATATATGCATAAGCGCATGTTGCTTTGCAACCCATTCTTTCCACAACCGCAGTGTCTTCATCTGCAGGGTTGCCGCATCACCGAGTACACTGTGCCCGTTGTCTTCGTTGGCCGCCATGTGATCACGCAGGTATTGTGTCCATTCCGATTTCAATTGCAAAAACCACGGCTGCGTCGTGCACGCCTGCAATAGATGCTTGTTGCGGTCAATCCAGTTAATCCATTGGGTGCAGTACGACGTCGCGTGCCTGTGGTTGGAATGAGCATTCTGTTCTGCATCTAAGGCGATATTTTCCATACAATTGCATCGGTCCTCTTCGTTAGATGCAGAAGCGTCCGTGTGGAACTGTATGTTTTGCATACAACGCCATGGATCGGAGTCATGTGGTGGACAAAGGCCCGTGGCTAACTGCATGGTTTCCATACAACGCCATGGATCGGGGTCGTCTTCATGCGGTGCACAAGGGTGCGTTTGTAATTGTATAGTTTCCATACAACTCCATGGATCGGGGTCGTGTGCAGTCGGTGCACAAGGGTCCGTTGCTAACTGTATAGTTTCCATACAACTCCAAGGATCGGGGCGCTCTTCGTTAGATGCAGAAGCGTCCGTGTGGAACTGTATGTTTTGCATACAACTCCATGGATCGGGGTCATCTTCGTTAGGTGGACATGGGACCGTTGCTAAGTGTATTGTTTCCATGCAGCTCCATAGATCTGGGTCATGTGGTGGACAAGGGCCCGTTGCTAACTGCATGGTTTCCATACAACTCCATGTGTTATCTTCGTTAGGTGGACATGGATCTATTCCTGCCGAGTCAGTGGAAGAAACATGGGTCCCTGATAAATCCTGGTTTGTGGTAGAAACACCCAAGATATGGTTATTCCTGTCTTCTTCCCGCAGCAAATCCTGCGCAAACTGCTCTACCACAATCTTCCAATAGTGCTCTTTGACGCTTTCCCATTCGGCCGCGTCACATTCGTTGAGCACTTCTAGATGTAGTTCGATGATCGTGCGGCGATTCACGCGTGGTTGACGTCGTCGTCGGTCGGCGGGCAATCTGCCGGGCTGCCTATCCCGAATCATGGTGTAGCCGTAATCGGGTGGCGGCAGTTCGCCTCGTTGTAGATGTTGCAATATGTCTTCGTCGAGTGGCGGTGACGGCACGTCACGTATAGTTCGATACGTTCGTCGTCGTGTAGCGCGGTACGCAAAGTACTAAGCAAAGAAGGCGTTGGGTGGGGAAGGTATGGTAAAAGGAATGAACGCGGGTGTAGGAGTATATTGTTTCGAAGAATCATATATGGGAGCCGGTTGGGATGTTCTGCGGTCTAAACATCCGGCACATGCGGCATGCCCGCATTGTCGTATATACTTACCTTCCAGAGGAAAAAGGCAATGAGCCCAATACCAACCACCGCGGGAATGATCGCGGGGGTGTACGGCTTGACATCCTTGGGGTCGAAGGGTTTCGACGGAGGGAGGGTAGGAAGAGGTTGGTCTTTGGTTTCTGGAGTCTGGGCACCGGAAGGAGGGGAACGAGCTCCCTGTGGACCCCCACTGGAGCCAGTACCTGTGGTACCTGGTTGCGAAGTGCCCGTGGAGCCAGGTCCTGAAGAACCTGGGGTGTGTTCACCAGTAGAACCTGGACTGGCTGGTTCTGAAGCAGAGGATGAGGAACTTGCACTTCCTCCCCCTCCACCACCATCTGGTTGAGCACTACCACCTGCTGCACTCTGTTCAGTACCTCCTGAGGACGGTTCACCGTTTTTGCCGCCGGTGCCGCCGCTACCGCTCGACCCCGATTGATTTGGGTTCGGGTTCGGTTTTGGTTTGGGCGGATTGAGAGGAGGGGGGTCATCGCTTCCGCCATCCTCAACCGGTGTACTTGGTTCACCCCGTCCTCCTTCCTGACCAGATGGACCTGGTACACCTTGTGTACCCGCGTTTCCGTCATTTCCTGTTGTTGTTGGTATGCTGGATGGTGCCGGCGGTGAATCCTCCTGACCGTTACGTGTCGTGATCTGTGTAGTTCCAGTACCTGTGAGTTTGAACGAAAACGAAGAATATGAAAATAACTCAAGTGTGGTGCGGTGCATGGTTGACCACACGGTCCGTTGCGCATGGTCCGTCAATGGATGGTCGGCTGACCACGTTCGGCACCACTGTTGACCGCGATCGATCGGCTACACGAATATTAGTCAGACGCTGATGGGTGGCTAGCGACGCCGTTGGAACCGTGGTTCACCTCTTGGGGAAGTTGTTGACCTCCGCCTGCGCCCTCACTAGTACTATTATCTTCCAACGATCCAGAAATTAAGCCTGCCAGGTCCGCGGGAGGGTCCAAACCAGGTCCTTGTGCGCTCCCACAGGAAATTACAATGCGTTCACCCGCACCTCCACCATTGGAACAACTACTGTCACTGTTTTCTCTGTCCGTACCGGAGGGTGCTGCTTCTGCTCCTGGTGGTCCAGGTTGCGACGGTGTCTGTGTGATACTGGTTTCTGTGCCTCCTGGGTCTGTTCCGCCTTGTCCTGCTGCAGGGGGTGATGGTGATACTGTATCATCCCCAGCTGATGTTTCTGACCTTCCCACATCCCCTGGTGCTGGTGCTGCTCCGTTATCTGCTTTCGCTGTTTTTGCACTTGTCGAATCGTTCCCTTTTTCTGTTGCATTTTCTTCTGATGCTGGTGGTACCGGTTCAGCCTGTGGTTTTGTGGACTCAGGTGTTGGTTCAGGTGCCTTGCCTGCTGCAAATAAAGCAAGGAAGAAAAACGACAAGATGATAAAAAAAAGCGACCCAAGTGGTAGACAGAAAGAAGGGGCCGGGACGGTGGGGTCAGGTAGCGACAGGGTAGGGCCGGGACGGTGTTAGAGAGCGCGCACGTTGTTAGAAGAGGACAAAGACAGGAAGAAAGGCGGGCGCACTCGGTGGACCGAGGTGGTAGCAGTGCACTTTTATTTGTTGTCGCCGTCATGTCGTCCCTCGTCGTCTCTGCACGGTACGCTCATCTACACTCGTGTACACGCCTCGCCGCCGCTGCACGGTACGCTTGTCGCGCCCGCCATTGCCGATCAACGTCAACGAAGGGGTGCCGCGCTGTGCTGTTGTGCTGTTCTCGCTGCCGTGTGCGTGTTGTTGTCATGCATTCGTAGTCATACGGCACGTAGTGGGCCGTATAGGTAGCAGCTTTATGATGCGTGTTCTTACCTTTCTGTTTTTCAATTTCCTGTTCTACTGCGACCTTGGCCTTCTCAATTACCCTTTTTGCCTCGTCCACTATCTTCTTCTCCGTGTCCTTTATTTCAGTGATCTTCGTTTCGTCCACCTTGTCCGGGTTACTCGGCTTCGTCTTGCCTTTTGTATAATCCTCCCATTTCGTATCACAGGGCACAGACCCATCTATGTGCTGTATTCCATGGAGTATTTTTCCCTGCCCCCGTAACCAGTGAGCTATGTCCAAGTCTACTGCTTGCACAGTGTGCTCATAACCTTTATACCCGCACATGGTGCACTTTCCCTCCACAACGGGACCAGTCACGCCTCCGTGTCCATCTTTTCCTGGGCTCTGCATGCTCTTGAATGTTATTCCAGCATACTCTATACCTCTGGCCCAGGTTCCCTGCTGCGAGCAGTACATTTTTTTGAGCATATGCCCAAATGTATTGGCTATTTCACACCGCAGCCGTTGATTCATGTCTTTATCGGGTCCTTGTTCCGTACCCTGCTGGTTCGCAAAGAATAGCGCAGTACTCATAAGTCTGCACCTGACGACATCTGCTACTGTTTGGCCCTTGAAATAATTCCCATCTTCCTTTAAATCATCCCATCCTACATTATAACAGTTGGCACCATAGTCATTCATGAGCTCTCTTCCCTTGTCCATATATTTCTTAAAATCATCCAACACCTTCTTCACCCTGTTCCATGCATCAGCCTACATGTTGCACATGATCAGAAGGAAATGCGCAAGTTTACATGTTCTTTTCACTCATCCTCTTGGATGTAAGTGTACCCTCATATATGTATATATCTTATGAACAAAGTCCCCTTCCATTTATTCATGTTTCTTGTGCGTCGCTACGCGCACTTTAACTTACAGTATACTGATGTGCCACGTATTTTTCAGGATGTCTCCATTCCAATAATCTGTCTCCTTGACAATCCTGTAGCTCGGGCGGCTTCTTCGGCACCGGTTTCGCCGCTACTGGTTTGGCAGCAGTAGCCTGCTTACCGTTGACCGGCGTCGCCGGTGCTGGTGTTGCAGAGGCGGCTGGTCTCACCGCGGGCGCTTTAGGTGCTGGTGGTGTGGTGGAAGATCCCTGTGCTGGTGTACCTAAGAAAAGGGAAGGGGTGGATATTTGTTAAAACAAAGCGAGATGGATGAACACAAAAGAAGAAAGGGGTGTTGACGTCGGCGGGGCCGCGTGTTCGACGGCGTTGGGTTAGGTGGACGTTAGCACTACACTTTTATTTGTTGTCGCTGTCATCTCGTGTCCGCTCCCGTCGCTACATACTCGCCGTCCCGCTCCGTGCTGCCTCGTGCAGCTCGTTCGCTCGCCTCCGCCGCTGCATCCATCGGATATTGCCCCTGGGACCACTGTTCCATTACACTTTTTCTTTTTTTCACCATTCTCATGAATATGCTGCCGTTCGGCCTGCGTCCTGATGATTATTCATTGTTCTCAATATGCACTTACCAGTGAACTGTGCTTGGCCTGGACGTCCTGCACACGCAGTAGCGTGTATGCCCTGGCGTGCGCGCTGTTCCATGGCCTGTTTCCTCTGTGTCCAGTCCTGCACTTCACACGACAAATCGCGTGCGGCGTCCTGCACGCTGTGCGTAACACTACTATCGTCCAACATCCATTGCGTAATTTTCGACTCAAGGGGAAAACCCCCTACACATGTATCGCCAAATGTCCAATTCACACACTGCCTACTTCTGCGTCTTCTTTGTGGCATCATAGTCATATATCCGTCCACGGCCTTCAGTGCATGTTCTCGAATATCATTGCCCCAGCATGCTAAGTCCATTATTTTCTGTATATATACGCCCCCTATTATACATTTCATTCCCTCTTGTAATTGTCTCGTGTCATTGTCAATTACATCTGTATCCACTTCTGTACCCTTACTGTTTAACCCTTCCATGTAGAACATTAGTCGTGCAAGTAGTCCACACCTAGCTTTGTCCTCTTCACTTACTGGTTCATTTCCAGTTCCATACGTACTGCACAATGTTTCTGCTATGCCTTCCTCCTCATGCTTGTCCCCTTTCATATTCTTCGCAATCTCTTGTTTCAATTCTTCCATTTGTTTCCACATCTCCTTCTGTGTTGTGCAAAATGAAAAGCATGAACATGCATGTATATATATAGCTTATACCGTCTCCCGTCGTGCGCGTTCATGGAGCATTATACCACATATGCACTGTTCTATATACATGGTATCCCACACCACTGTGCACGCGTTCTACCCCTATATTCCCTTTCCATATTTTTCTACACTTACATCACTCTGTGTCTGTTGATCTTCGGCGCGCATTCCAGGTTTCATGGCCCATTTTACCCTTAGCTTTGAAATAAAGTCCTTACCTTCCGCACTTCTCCATAATACATCCTACATTAAGAATAGAAAAAGGAAAAGAGAAGAAATAAATAAATAAAGAGAAGGGGATTATGCCATGTTGCAATGTACACCACATGGGCCCGTCCGCCGTGTCCAAACTATACTCACTCCCCTTTAATAAAAAAATTTGTGTACCCAATTACTCATGCTGCGCGTTCCCCATACTTTTCGTGTGTTATAATTCAACTTACATCATCCGCCATGGGCTTGTCTCTACTTTTGGCGTCTATGTCTATTGGTGATGTTGCCTAGGGTCGCAGCTGCGTTTGCTCGGAGAGACAATCTCTGCTCCTTCCTTCCTACACTCGGCCACTTCGTCGAATCCGGCTCACACTCGGCTACGTCGTCGAAGCGCGTTTTCTCGGAGAGACAATCTCTCCTCCTTCTTACACGCGGCTAGTGCGTCGAATCGTGGTTACCATCGGCCACGTTAGTCGACGCATGTGCTCGGCGAGACAATCCTCCTGCTTTCGTACACGCTGCCGCGTTGCTGGACGCGTGTGCTCGGAGAGACAATCTGTCCTCGTTCTTACACTCGGCCACTTCGTCGAATCGTGGTTACACTGGGCCACTTGTGCTCGGAGAGACAATGTCTCCCTCCGTTCTTACACTCGGCCACTTCGTCGAACCGCTTCACTCGGACAATGTCCTTTACCCGGCCGCGTTGGTCGACGCGTTTGCTCGGAGAGACAATGTCTCCCTCCTTTCTTACACTCGGACAATCCGTCGTCGAAACCGTGCTACAGTGGGCCGCGGGGGTCGACGCGTTTGCTCGGAGAGACAATCTCCTGCTTCTTACACTGGGACAATCCTTCGTCGAATCCGTGTTGCACTTGGCCGCGTGGATCGACGCGTTTGCTCGGAGAGACAAGCTCTCGTCCTTCTCACACGCGGCTACAATGCGGTTTACGCGGCCGGGTTTGCGCCGAGAGAAAATGTCTCCTTATACTCGAATGCGTATGCGCATGCTATATTTGTGCTGCACTATACCCTTTGAATGCACGTGCGCATGTTGTAATAATTAACTTCACATAAAGGAGAATACGACCCCTTCATATTATTCATTTAAATGTACATGTTATATGCATGTGACCTGTACCACCGTGTGCCCATGGTCATGCTAAAAGAAGTTCACTAGATAACAAGAACAAAACAAGGCAAAAGTAAACAGAAAGAAACAGAAGGAAGCAGAAGAGAGCAGAAAAAAAAAGGAAGGTATGTAATAGTGCAAACTAGAAGTATAATGTGTATGTCGAATAAGGGGGAACAGGTATCTGCTGTTATCATGTGTCCCCATCTACATTGCTGCATACCCCGCACTGCATCCGAATGTCAGAGCTTTTGCAATAGGTCATCCACATATAACTCCCTATCCTGCAAACTGCGTTCGACTTCGCACTGTTCTATGACTAATGCCAGGATCAGTATCCATGTTTGAGCGGTTAACGATTTTTTCATGTAAGGTTGCTGAGGCAGTGGTTGTGACCGTGGTACATCGCTCACTTGTAGCAAGTCTTCTGCGGCCATTACTTTGTCCACTTCTAAGTCTTTTTCGACTACTGATACTTCGCCTTTTTCCGACACTGTCGCCTCCTGTACATTATGCAACAAATGTTTGAACCACGCCTCTTCCTTGTATGTACTCATTTTCCGATGTTGCTGTTCGACCCATTGTTTCCATGCATGCAGTTTCTTCATCACTGCGGATGGGATGTTGGCGTGCTCACCTAGTTCACTGTGCCCGTGGGCCTCCGTTTGCCGCCATGTGCTCACGCTGATATTGTTTCCAATCCGCTTTTAATTGCAAAAACCACGGCTGTGCCGTGCTCTGCTGCAATATGCGTTTGTTGCGGTCAATCCAAGGGATCCACTTAGTGCGGTCTAATGCCGGCATGTCATTCCCGGGGTCGGAAGAGTATGCGAGGGGAGAAGGAGTGTGTTCGTGTTCTAACTGTATGGTTTCCATACAACTCCATGGATCGTAGTCCTCGTCGTTAGAAGCAGAAGGGTCCGTTTCTAACTGTATGTGTTCCATACAACTCCATGGATCTGGGTCGTCTTCGTTAGGTGGAGAAGTGTGCGTTCCGTCGGCGTCAGTGGGTGCATCCAAGGTGAATGAAACATTGGTCCCTGGAGGACCCTGGTCTGACGTAGAAACACCCAAGATACTGTTATGCGTGTCCACGTCCCGCATCAACTCCTGCGCAAACACCTCCACGACAATCTGCAAATAGTCGTCTTTGACGGTTGCCCATTCGGTCGCTGCACATTCGTTGAGCACTTCTAAATGTAGCTCGATGATCGTGCGCTTATGCACGCGCGGGGGGCGTCGTCGTCGTCGGTCGGCGGGCAATCTGCCGGGCTGCCTATCCCGAATCATGGTGTACCCGTAATCGGGTGGCGGCAGTTCGCCGCGTTGTAGATGATCCAATATTTCTTCGTCGAGTGGCGGTGACGGCACGTCACGAACGGTTCGATATGTTCGTCGTCGTTTTTTTCCGAGGTACGCAAAATACTAAGGAGAAAAAGGGGGTAAAGAGGAGGGTGAGGACGGTAGGATAAAAGGAATGAACACGGGTGTAGGGGCATATTGATTAGAACGATCATATATTGGAGCCGGTTGGGATGTTCTGAGGTATAAACATCCTGCACTTCCGGCATACACGGTGTCGCGTGTATACTTACCTTCCACAGGGAATAACCAAGAAGGGCGACGGTGACGGAAGCGACGAACAACAGGATGGGAGTAGTGGCGGTCAGGACCGCGGCGGCTAGGTCGGGTGCATCAGGACCACCACGACTCGGAGGTCCTTGTTTCATTAATTTTTCATTGTCTTCATTCAGTGTGACATGTTCCCGCTTAAGGGGTACGAATCCACCCCCAGGAACATTGGGTCCCTTGGGAATCATGTTAGCTAAGTCAAAATTAGGTAGTCCAAAATTGGATGAGCGAGGCGTGGAGTCACTTTCCTCTCCTCCAACTGTTTCTGCAGGACCATCTGTTTCACATGTCCAATCTCCCTTATCTTTTTTCCCATCGATCGCGCATAGGTTCGTGTTTTCATTTATATCTTCGCCACCACCTGCTGCACCTTTACCTGGTGGGGTACCACCACTCTCAGTACTGCCTCCCGTACTACGTGGTACCGGGCCCGTCGAGGAACTTGGCGTTTCTGCAGATCCTAAGTAAACATGCAGGAAAGGTAACAGTAAGAAAGGGAAAATGATGAAACTGACGTTTTCAGCGGTGGTTGTTGATTGACTACCGTTGACCACATGGTTGGCACCATTGGTGCCACGGGGATGGAGCCAGGCGTCGGGTGACGAGGGGACGCCGGGACAGGACACGGACGGGGGTAGGGTGCCACCCCGGGAAAAGACTCTCTCTCTCGCACGCACAACACACACACAACACAACACGCACAACACACACAGTGTGCATGTGTGTGTCGATGTCTGTCGACGTCTACGTGGCTACGTCTACATCCCGCGGCGGTGTCTGTCGCCCGCCTCATTCTCATTCGACGTTTGGTTTCTCTCTCTCCGTGTGCTCTCCGGAAAAGTTGTGTGTTTTTTTCTCGTTGTTTTTGTTGTCGACATTTACTCAGGAGACTACCTGGTCCCGAGTCTTCGGGTTTCTTCCCACAAGTACTGTCAATGTCAGATGTCGTTCCAAAAGACACAGAAGTACTTGATGTGGATCCGTGGACACCTGCGCCTGCGTTTTTGACTGTATAGGTCTCTGTCCCCTTGGAGCACTTACCTGTTTCTTTCGTATCCTTCGATACTGTTGTTCCTGATCCCGATCCCGACGATGATTGTGATGGTGGTGGTGCCGCAGGTGGGGGTTGTGGTATGGATGCCGCAGCAGGTACTGTTTCAGATGCCCCTGTTTCAGCCCTTGCCCTGTCACCTCGCTCTGCCCCTGGCCCTTGTGGCGGTCCTTTCTCCTCAGGAACAGGCTCCTCTGGTACCTCTGGTACCGTAGTGGGTGGAGCTTGCGGTTTCGTGCCTGCTGCAAATGAAGAAGGAAGAAAGGTGATAAAAACGACAACATGATACAAAACAGGACACACGTGGTACAGAAAGAAGGGGCCGCGACGGTGTGGTGTGGTTCGATCAGGTAACGGCAGGGTAGGGGCGGCACGGTGTTAGAGAGCGCGCACGTTGTTAGACGAGGACAAAGACAGGAAGAAAGGCGGGCGCAGTCGATGGACGGAGGTGATAGCACTACAAATTTTATTTGTTGTCGCCGTCATCTCGTCGTGCGCTCCGTCCGTCCTCCATCGTCGCCGCTGCCGTCGTGGCCGCCGCACACACCTCGGCTCATCGCTCAACGAGGGGGTGCTTTTCCGCCCGCGCGTGCGTGGTTGTTGTGGTTGTGGTGGCATACGTATGCGTGCGTAGGGGGTCGTGGCTGCCGTATATTCGTACTGGGTGTCGTCGTGCTAAACGTATTCGGATTATGTGTATTCTTAGTGTTCTTATTATTCTTATCCTTACCTGCCCTTTCCTCATCGTCCTGTTCCTTAATTTTCTGGTCCACTATCTTTGTAACCTCTTCAAAAGCTTTCTTCGTCTGCGTCCTTATTTCGCTCTCTGTGTTCTTCACATCAGGCAGCTTCTGGCTAATGTCGTGGTCTTGGTCTTTAACACCCTTCTCTTCTTTATACTTTTTCCAGTCCTGCCCACAGGGAATCCGGTGTGCAATGTTTCCTATTTTGTCCATTATCTTTCCTTCCTCTATTAACAAGTTTACCATGTGTCCATCTACTACTCTCACGGAACCGTGTGTAACTTTATACCCACATTCCGTACAATCCGCTTTCATTACAGGACCTTTTTTATCTTCCTGTATTCCTCCAGCCTCTCCCATTGCGTTGACCGTTGTCCAAGCATACTTTACACCCCTTTTCCATGTGGTCTTATGTTCACAATACTTTTTGTCCAGTATGTACCCAAATGCATTCGCTAGCTCGCATCTTAGCCTGTTCTCCGTGTCATCCGTAACTGTGCTGTACCCTTTTATATTATCACCGTTTGCAAACCACAATGCACCCGTCATGAGTTTACACCGTATTACGTCTGCTACTGTTTGGCCCGTGAACAATGTGCCGTCGTCTGTTATATCATTCCAACCGCTATTGTAACAATTCGCCCCTAAGGCATCCACCGTGCCGTCTGGATCGTCCATGTAATCAATAAACTGCTGCAACACGGTCTTCATGGTTTCCAGTTGTTCCTTCTGTGGTGTGTACATAGAGAATAGAGGAATTCGCATGTTTACTGTGCACGTACATTACACCTATCGCGGGGACTCGCACTTTGACGTATATGTATAAAGCGCAGGAACTAATTTGTGCCCTAAGTCCCATCTGCCCCTGTTGTTGTGGGGTCCCGTGTGGGTTTACTATAACTTACATTATAATTCTTCAGGACGTATACTTGCCTCCTTGTGTCTTCCAATATGGTCTTCAATGGACAATCTTCCGCTTTGGCCGTCTTCCCCTTCTCTCCTGCTGCGGCATCACTACCACCAGCAGATGATGACGTGCCCGTTGACGTCGTCGGTTTTTTGGGTGGATTCACTCTGTCCTTCACTGCCTTGACTCCCTTCTTTATCTTCTTTTCTATTTCACATATCTCCTTGGATGCCCCTGTTTGTTGCATGTCGTCTAACACGCTCTTCACTCGCGCAAAGATACCACTATCCGTCCACGCCTTTATTTTTGTCATGAGCGCAGAGTCCTGGGGGATCACCCCCGCATGAGCGGTACATGCTTCTTCATTTTTCTGGTCTGCGTCCTGCTCCTTCCAAGCACACTTTTGCACTCTGCCGTGTGTAGTTCCTGTGGTGCGTCGCGCGAAACCTTTCTTCCATTCGTCCAGCTTATTCTTTATGCTGGGTCCAATACCACGTAATCCGAATATTACTTCCCCGTAATCCCTGCCCTCACAAACCCCTGGCTCATATTGCTGTTGTCCTGGTTTATCCGGTTTCTCCAGTTCTGCCTTAACGTGCTGTATTATTTCCCTATGATCTGCATTATTCCCATACAGCTGTAGTAACACCTCAGTGGCCAGTGTACACCTTATATATTCCCTAAACTTCTCTCCCCTTCTGGCATCCACCCGTCTTTTTGTGCAATTGCCCGTACTGCAACTGTATCCCTTTATGTATAGCATAAGGCTTGCAATTTCATGACACCTGCTCTTGCATGCGGCCGGTTCCTTTCCTTGGAATACGCTTCCACAAATGCCAGCGTTCGTGCCGCTATGTTGGGTGATTATCGTTGTTACTTCGTTGAAGATAATCTTGACCTCGCGCATTAATTGTTTCTGCGGATAGAAGAATCCATGTATGCGTGTGCATATTCTTTATGCCCATGTTGTCGTAAATTCATGTGCATTTAATCATACTGCATTTCAGATGCATGCAGTGTCCGTGAACTGTATCTGTGGTGAGCATGGCTGCCGTACGTTACGACACTTATATAAATAGTCGACGCACACATACAGGTTCGAATTTCCCATGTACATATATTGCTGTGCAAAGTGCACTATTGCCCTGCGTCCGGAGTTTTGTGTACAATGGAACTTACCCAATATCCCTTTCCGTCCTTTATGTTCCATCGGTTTAGATAAAACTGCCATGCCCCTAGAAACTCCAGTATGTCCATGGCCATACTGGGTACCCATGTTAAACACGTTATGCCCTTCTTAAAAAAAAAAGTACAACACTACTACTACTACTACTACTACTACTACACACCGCGCATTAACCACAACAACAAAAAAAAACAAAATATACACACACACCGTCTCCGTCAACGCCTCTTGCGTCAACGCTGCTCTCCGTCAACGCTCTCTCCGTCAACGCTTCTCTCGTCACACCGTCTGCAGGTCACGACTCTCCGTCAAAGTTTCTGCGTCACCCCGTCTCCGTGAACGTGTCTCCGTCAACGCTCTGTCCGTCAACACTTCTCCCGTGCACGCCTCTGCGTCAATGCTTCTGGAAGTCGTGATAAATACACAACCACTACTTGTTGTCTGGCGCCGTGTGCCTGCCGCCGTCCGGCTTCGTTGTAGAAGAAGAAAGGAAAAAACAAAAGTAGTACACTACACTACCATACACACAACACGTCATGAATATCCCACTTCTACACCGGTCTCCACTAAACGCCTGTCACACACACTGTCTCTGTGTGCGTACACCTAAAAACCGCAGTAACAACATCAATTTCTCCTTCCGTCGTTGTCGCCGTCCCTCCCGCGGCTACGTCGTCAAGCCGCGTTTGCGCGGAGAGACAATCTCTCCTTATACGCGAATGCGTAGTCGCGTTCTATATTTGTGCTGCACTATACGCGTAGAATGCACGTGCTCAGCTGTTAATAATTAACTTCACATAAAGGAGAATACTACCCCTTCCATATTATTCATGTAAATCTGCATTTTATATGCATGTAACCGGTACCACCGTGTGCCCATGGTCATGTTAAAAGAAGTGGACGACACAGAAAAAGAACAAAACAAGGCAAAAGTAAACAGAAGTAAGCAGAACAGAGCAGAAAAAAAAAAAAGACGGTATAGAATAGTACAAACAAGAAATATATTATGTATATCACATAATGAAGTAAAAGTGGTCTAATGATAGCATGCGTTATTGCCCATTCATATGCGCCGTCATCCTAATGTCAAAGGTGTTCTAATAAATGTTCAACATATAACTCCGTCTCCTGCAAACGACATTCGACCTCGCTCTCTTCTATGACTAATGCCAGGATCAGTATCCATGTTTTAGGGGTTACGGTTTTTTCATGTAAGGTTGCTTATGCAGTTGCGTGCGTGGTACACCTCTCACTTGTAGCACATGTTCTGCTGCCATGACTTTTTCCACTTCTAAGTCTTGTTCGACTACTGATACATCGCCTTTTTCCGACACTGTCTGCTCCTGTACATTATTCAACAAATGTTGGAACCACTCCTCCTGGCCATACATACGCAGTTGCCGATGTTGCTTCGCGACCCATTGTTTCCATGCGTCCAGTTTGGTGCTTTCCATGGTTGCGGCTGTCCTGTGCTCACCGGATGCTGCGTCTGCCGCCATGTGCTCGCGCAGGTATTGTTTCCATGCCGCTTTTAATTGCAGAAACCACGGCTGAGTCGTGCACGTCCGCAATAGATGCTTGTTGCGGTCAATCCAAGGGATCCAATGGGTGGGGTCGGGGATGCGGCATTCATTCGCGGGGTCGGAAGAGTATGGAAAGAGAGCAGGAGTCCCCTCTTCTTCTAACGCTGCAGTTTCCATACAACTGCATGAAGCGCAGTCATGCGGTGGACATGGATCTATGCCGTTGCTGTCAGGGGGTGGATGCAAGGCAGATGAAACATTGATCTCTGGAGGACCCTGCTTTGTGGTAGAAACGCCCAAGATGTTGTTATTCCTGTCCTCTTCCTGCTCCAAGTCGCGCGCAAACTCCTGCACAAGTATCTGCAAATAGTCGTCTTTGACGTTTTCCCATTCGGCCGCTTCACATTCGTTGAGCACTTCTAGATGTAGTTCGATGATGGTGCGCTTATGCACGCGTGGATGACGTCGTCGTCGGGCGGATGTTGACGCAGGTTGCCTATCCCTAACCATCGTGTACCCGTAATCGCGTGGTGGAGCGCCGCGTTGTAGATGTTGCAATATTTCTTCGTCGAGTGGCGGTGACGGCACGTCACGCACTGTTCGATATGTTCGTCGTCGTTTGGTGAGGTACGCAAAGTACTAAGCAGAAAAAGGAGGGTAAAGAGGAGGGTGGGCACGGTTGGATAAAAGGAATGAACACGGGTGTAGGAGTATATGGGTTAGAACGATCATATATTGGAGCCGGTTGGGAGTTTCTGAGGTATAAACATCCTGCACATGCGGCATGCCCTGATTGCCGTGTATACTTACCTTCCACAGAAAAAACGCAATGATTCCAATACCAACCACCGCTGGAATGATCGCGGGGGTGTAGGGGATAAGGGCATCCCAGGTTATTCCACCACCAGCTACTGCGCCTTCTCCTGGTGTGTTCTGTGCAGGGGGATCATTCTGGGGGATGGATGTAATCTGAGTAGTCACAGCGTTGGTAGTACGGGAACCATTATCAGGGGAGGAAGGAGTGTGGGTTTTGGTAGAACCAGTACCGGATGAACCTGGTGTTTCGGGCTCCGTGGAAGCAGTACGAGTAGCACCCGGCCCTGAAGAACCTGGGGTTTGGTGACCAGTGGAACCATTACCAGAGGATTGACCTCCTCCACTGCCTTGGGTAGGACCACCTCCACCATGAGGCCCGGCACCGTTTCCTGCCCCACCAGAGCCACCATCTACACCAGTAGTAGTGCCGCTGGGACTGCTGCTCCCCGATTGATTTGGGTTCGGGTTCGGTTTTGGTTTGGGTGGATTGAGAGGAGGGGGGTCATCGTTGCCGCCCGCCTTACCGGCGCCATCTACCACTTGGTCCCCGGGGCTAGGGGCAGGAGCAGATGTTGGTGCCCCTTCTGCTCCACTGGAGGATGTTGTTGTGGTTGCTGGTTCTTGTTCTGCTTGTGCTTTCGGTGCTGCCGCTGCTGGTGCTTGTGCTCCTGGTGATGGATCCGCCGCGGAAGTACGGTTCGGATCCTGGGGTTGCCCAGTACCTGTAGAGTCAGGTAGGTGGAAGAAGCGTGTCGAAACTGAACTTTTGGGCGGTGCATGGTTGTTTGTGGGACCACACTGTCGGCTACACGCTTGTTAGGTGCCGTGTCACTGTCGTCCACACGGTTGCCCAGATGGTGCCACGGGGACGGCGGGGCATGGCACGGGGGCAAGGTGCGAACGGTGGTTGGCAGGGTGCCACCCCGGGAAAAGACTCTCTCTGTCCGACACACCACACACAACACACAACACACACAGTGTGTGTGTGTCGATGTCTGCATCTACGTCTACATCGACGTCTACATCGACGTCTACCTGTCTACGTCACCCGCGGCCGACCCATCGCTCTACCTGCTGCGGCGGCTTACGCTCCCCCGCGCCCGACCCGTCGGTCTGCCGCTCCTCACTCTCATTCGACGTTTGGTTTCTCTCTGTCCGTGTTGTCTCTCCCTCTCTCTCCGGAAATGTTGTTCGATTTTGTTTTTTTTTTTCTATCTCACTCTAGCCCACTCATCAAATATTCAAGATGCACCCCTGTAAATCTTACTGCACTTTACCATTATCAGGCTTCCTGGGCTTGGAGTCGGATGTGTCCGTAACGCCCGGTATTTCTCCTAAGGCTTCGCCCGATGTACATCCGGTACGTATAACCACTGCACCCGAACTCTTTTCATTTTTCCCAAGACTCTCCTTACACTGGTCCTCACCTGATTTTTCCTTTGGTCGTGGTCCTGCTGCAACGCCCGTAGCACCTTTTTCTTCCTTTGCTCCTGCCTCGTCACCGCCTGATTTCCCTGAGGGAGATGGTGGTGGAGGTGGGGGGGGTTGTTGTCCAGGTCCAGGTCCCGGACCCGGTCCTGGTGGTGTGGTTTCTGTCTGTGTTCCTTGTCCCGTGCCTGCCGATGTTGTTGGTGCGGCATCCGCTGGTGGTGTGTCAGACCTGCCTCCTTGTGCTACGGATGGTGCCTGTGCATCCGGTGCAGCTTTGGGTACTGACACCCTGTCCTGAGGAACCACCTCTGTTGGTGCTTCCGGTACCGTAACTGGTGGAGCTTCTGGTGTGTTGCCTGCTGCAAATAAAGCAAGGACGTAAAACGACAAAATGATACAAAAAGGGACACAAGTGGTAGACAGAAAGAAGGGGCCGGGACGGTGGGGTCAGGTAGCGACAGGGTAGGGCCGGGACGGTGTTAGAGAGCGCGCACGTTGTTAGAAGAGGACAAAGACAGGAAGAAAGGCGGGCGCACTCGGTGGACCAAGGTGATAGCAGTACAACTTTTATTTGTTGTCGCCGTCATCGCGTCCGCCGTCCCGCTCCATCCGTCGTGGCCGTCACACACTCGTCGTCGCCGCTGCCGTCGTGGCCGCCGCTCACACCTCGGCTCATCGCTCAACGAGGGGGTGCTTTTCCGCCCGCGCGTGCGTGTTGTTGTTCTTCCCGCGGGCGCGTGGTGTTGTGCCCGTTGTGTTGTTGTGGTGGTGGCATCTATATCGGTACCGTACGGACCGGGCCGTGTGATCCCGTGTGGGGCCGTATGATTGGTATGCGTACGAGTCGTATTCGTACTGTTCTTACCATTCACGTCCTCGTGCTCATCGTCATCCTCATCGTCGTCTTCATCGTCATCCGCATCGTCGTCGGAAGGAACTGGCCCCCGTAGTGTCTTTACTCTCTTCCGTACTTTCCTTAATATACCCTTCATTCCTGGCTCCATTTCTTCCCGCAACGTTTCGGCTTTCAATAATTCTATACTTCCCGGGCCATTGTCTGATGTCTGTTTCCGCCTTCTTTTGCATCTTACACTTTTCTCTAACTGTTTCATCTTGGCCTGCATGGTTTCATCCCCCATTATCCAGTCATCAAATTGTGCGCCTATTACCTTTCCTCCTACTTTCAGGTCATTATTAACCACCCAGGTACACATTTTAGGATGCACAGCGCCAGGCACATGGTCCATAAAGGGTTCAAATATGTGCAATGCCTGTCGTATACCTTGATGTCTGCCACAGTTTGCTTTCATTAACTGGAACATAAATACATTCACAATTATGCACCGTATATATCTGTGTAATCTATCACCTGCGGCCGAAGCCTCGTATCCCCCATGTGGACCCAGCCCCCATCCATTCATGAAAAATAATGCCGGCACCATCATTTTGCATACAACTTTGTCGTCAGCATTATGCCAATTTGTGATTCGTTCCGGCCCCCATCCCTTATCATCACACGATGTCGCAAGTGTGCCATCATCATGCTCCATATGGGTAAGAAACTGGTCCACCATATTTTTCATATCTGCCCATATTGCTCTCTGTAAAGGGTAAAGTAGTAACCCCGAATTTGTCAAGGGTATAATGCTGCTAGTACATGACGTATGTGAATACTCATAGTTCAATACTGGCTGTCCAAGCACTGATGTTGTACACACTATGCCAATGCAATATCCGCCATAGTCATATATATATTCCCGTAACACACTTTCCTGGTGAGCACATCACTGTACTCACCTATGCGCTCCGTGCGCGGTGCTCTTTTGCATTGTGTGCGTACCATAACCTACCTCGTAAAAACCTTCAATTCCCTGTCCTTGCCTGCGTTTTAGCCACTGTGCCAGTAAATCTACGAATTCCGCTGCCATGATACTACTACATAACTAGATCACTATTCATACGCTTCGCGTATCATTGCAGTA